TAAAAAGAATAAAGAATGGGGCTAAAGTGTGATTAAAAAAGAATAGGACTATGAATACCTCATTCTCTCTTTCATAAGGCTGGCAACATGGAGATTGATAGAAGGGGAAGAATTTTTTTCCCACTAAAATTTAAGAGAAGAACACCAAGATTTGTCAAGTCTATATGAGTTTTAGATTACTAGGTAGGGAAAACATCCTTTGGTAAAGGAAATAGTAAGAAACAAGTGAAGAGATTGTAAGGGGAAGAGAGGAAAAGGGTCAACTGCATGCAAAAAGGAAAGAGTTAAAACTTTTCAACCGGTTAATAATCAAAATCCAAATTATCACCAGGTAAGGAGCCTTAAACCTAATTATGAAAATTAATTTAAATTCAATTAGGAATTATGTACTAATCTTGAATTAAAATTAGGGTTCTTAAGTAAAATTGAGGAAATGTAGAATTTGATAAAATTGGATTAATTAAATTATTTTAAATTACCTTAAACATGAAATCATGTAAAAATACAAAAAAAAAATGGTTAAAGGAATAAGAGTAGCCTTCCATTTAGGGAATGAATAGAAGGAGAATAATTTATGATTTTCTTGATAAAGTATTTGTGGTGTTTTGTTATAATGTGAACAATGACTAAATAAGACAAATGATTACATGAGAAAGAGAAGGGAACCCAAGTCCTTTAGGCCAAGTTTTGGCCATGACAAGATTAAGAGGGGGAGATGAGTTTTAAGATTTCATATGTTAATAATGGGTAATTAGGCGTGGAAGAAAGTATATTAATAAGTAAAGCATAATAATTTGATAGTAAAGGAATTTTGTAAATCAAATGCATGTTTTATGTAAGGTAGAAATTAGTTTATTGGCTATAATGTATAGTTTATGGCTTGACTTATGAGAAATTATGAAATGTAGGAGAACATGGAATCTAATAATATGTATGTTCTTGAAATAGTTTTTGACCATTTTACACAGAAAATAGTAAATTAGCTTAAGTAATCTTTAGGAGGTCATATTTAGGAATGGTTGCCTTAAGAAAAGAGGGACGAGAAATAAGGATACTTGAAGGTTCATTTAAACCATTGAAAAACTAGATAAATTCATCACCCTTATTCCAGAGACAATTCGAGTCTAAAAATAATAAAAATATAAGAAACATTTTCTCATTGAAGTTATAGTCAAGGATGTTAGCTTTCCAACAAGTCTAACCTTGCTTAAATTGAAACTCAGAACTCTAGATATATGTAAATATCTAAGGTGACGTTGAGTTGTAACCTCTACTGAATGTTTCGATAAGTTGTCAAAACAGTAAATTTAGTCATGTTAGGGGTAGAATTAGGTTTTCTTCTCTTTAAAAAATATATAGTGTCATGTTTTAGTGTTCAAAATAAAATAAGCTATGTTTGAAATCAAATTTGTGATGTTAATTATAATTACATAAAAAAACAATGATCTTAAAGAATGTAATGGGAAACACAAATGTAAATGAAGCAATTGTTAAAAGGAAGTCAATATTGGATAAGAAATAATGTGGTATACCTATGGATTTAGGAGGGACAGTAGAAGGGGCACAACAGCAGCAAGGGAGCGCAAGCAGAGCGTTTGTAGCATATGAGTGTCCTATATATATACCCTTCTTAAATATGTGTAACCATAAAAATCTGTTTAATTCTTAGATTGTATACGTATTGGTGTTGTTAAAAGAAAAAATGATCAAATGAAATAAAAACAGACTTGACTAATTGTTTTGGTTAGGAATAGTGAACTACATTAATGGACTTTATTGACAATAGTTTTCTTGAATTTGATTAGTCGTTCCCAAGTACGAGATGTTAATGATGTTAGTAGGGTTTACTAATGTCGGCATGACCATTCTAGAGAATGAAGGATACTGAACTTGATTAACTATTCAAGTTAAGAATAATTAATGATATCGATGAGTGACGTTGATATCGACAATTCTATAAAACTTGATTGGCTATTCCTATTATGAAAGCTAGTGATGTTAAGGATTTTTTACATTGACATTTCTGAAGATATCTCAAAGTGTTATTGAGAGTTGATTAATTATTTTATGTTAGAATAATTAATGATATCAATGGACTGCATTGATATCGGTATTTACGATAAACTTAATTAGTAGGTCCTGGTAAGGGCGATTAATGATACTAATAAGATTCAATAGTATCAATATTATCGTCCCAAGGTTTTGAGAAGAAAAGACTTGATTAGTAATCTTGTGGAGAATAGTTGATGGTACCAATGAATTGGTATTGACATTCTTAAAGGAATTGTCTTTCAACATTAACATATAACATTGGTCAGAAAATTTTAGAGTTGAAAGGAAAATATTAGTGAATCCAGAAGGAATAAATCTAGAAATATTAAAAGAGGATTATATGGAAAATTGTAAAGAATATGGTAATATGTAGCCTTGAATATATTTTTTGACTATTAATGTTAGTATTGCTTTTTATGATAATTATTTTCTAATGTTATATTCGTTTCACGTCCTCCAATGTTATATTCGTTTTAGGTCCATCATATTTACAACAGGAGTAATATTTTAGATCATATATCTTTTATGTTATTTAGAACTAAAGAAATGTTGGTGTATTTTGTATCTCAAAAAACTATTATGACTTGAATTGTAATAATATCTTTTAAATCGAATGTCTGAACATAATTTATATTATCATGTATTCATAATTTTCATATATTTTTTTATTTAAGTATTAATTAATACTCGTTCTTATTATTATATGGATATTTAAAAAATTATGGTTGTAGTGATGAGAATTGAGTTCTAAGATGATTGACTTGTGATTGGATAATAATTAATAGAAATGTACATGTTATTTATCTATAACTTAGGACTTCCTGGTATAAAAGAAATTTTGCAGAAATTTTAATAGAAATTGCAGTGAACCTTGTATAAATTTATTTTAAAAAATATTTATTATGTTTTTTTTATATTATGATTGGTGTGTTGTCCTGGTAATTGGAATGTTGCATTTGCTTCTTTTTATTAGAGTTGTTACCAACTCATAACAATTTTAGTCTTATGTATAATAAACCAGCAATGTACATAACCGTGAAAAAAATCATTGAGCAGACAAAACAACTAAAAGAACAAATTATAGTCTTATGTATAATAAACCAGCAATGTTCATAACCGTGAAGAAGAACCATATTAAGAGCCTAGAGACAAAATATGCTATTAATCTGAGTTAAAATTGGTTTGTTGAAGGAAAAGATATTAAATTATAGGGATTTGTTGGAGAAATCATATGGGGATTTAAGATTTTTTTCTTTTGATTTTTTCTATTTTTCCTCTCTATTTTTATTCTCCATCTGCTTATATGATAAGGTGAATGTCATGAATTTGAGATGGACACTACAAAATTGATCTGCCAGGCTATACAAGTGTTATAATTTATCTTTTATATTGACATTCTGTATTGATATGAAACAATTTCTCTGGTATTAATACAGTTAAATTTAAATTTAAAAAGTTGATAGAGTGACCATCGGCCGGGCCGGCGTTATACTTGGAGTTTACTATTGTCATGTTGTCAGGCAACTTCATCTCCTGATGCCATTATGGTAACATGCAAACTTAATTATGCGATTTGCCTATGCCTTTTCTTAGACGGCAGTTTTTTTTCTTTTTTTCCTTCCCGTAGGGTAAGTGGAGGGCAGATATAATTCATTTATGGCATTTCCCCGAAAGTACTTTTAGCAAAGCAGGTTTGCATAACAAGATATGCTGTTTATGCTAATTTATAAACTGATGAAACCCTAGCCCCACAAAACGCGTCAGATGAGAGGGACTCGTTGTCCCCTTCCATGTTTTTCTTTTTTTTTCGTTTTTTTTTAATTATTATTATTGCTGCATCGCACAAACTCTCTTAGCCTCTGTTTAGAGGAAATTCATTAGCCCCAGTGCATGCATGTATAAATACGAATGGAAGCCAACCGTGTTTCTTAGCCTCTGTTTAGAGGAAATTCATTATACGAATGGATTTGGAAGAAATTAAAAGCACCCACGAAAACTGTGCTCTTGCCTTTAAATTTCCGCAACAATACAAATAAAGGTGTACCAGCTGGGATTTAATAACGTGGGACCCTGTATGGCCACCTGCTTTTCTCAATCCACGGGGGGAGAGGTGCTAAATGCTTAGCGCATATGGGCTTCACTCAACTTGGTGGTGGTGGTGGAGGGCACATTTGCGCCATAATGGGCGAAGACCAGCTGTGCTGGCGGGATGGTCAATGGCAGTGAGGGATAACTGTCTTTACGTGAATTTTAATAGATTCGTCATTCCACTAGCGCAGCAGTAACAAAACAAAAAAAAACAAAAACCATCTCATCTCATCTCATCACGTGAAGAAAGGCAAAGGCGAGGATGATCCAAAGGAGGTCTCATTCAAGCAGCTGGAAAATAAGGAAAGAAGGACGCGTTTAGGACAAGAGTCAACAAGCACACCACACCTAAGGAGAAGTTTCCAATTTGACTCCGCTCTTCACGAGCTTCATCAAGTATGATAGTAAATGATCATCAATAGGAAAGTTAAGAAACCATGCCGACAGCAATTTAAAGTCAGATAAACCGATTCCAAGCAAGCAATCTGACTAATCTAATGACAAAAAAGAGGAGGAAATCAAGGAGCTCATCTAGCAACAATCAAGGGGGACCTAGACTGGCTGTTCGGGTCCCGCCATGCATCTAGCTAGCCTCGATCGGATATTAAGCAAACAACACGGCGCAAATAGGTGGCCTCAGAAAATGCCTGACAATAGCACCCCACCGATATTATATATATATATATATAGCAACTGGCATTTACTAGATGAGTAGGATCACCGGAGCTCGCCATGGATTCAAAGAAAGGTGAATCAAAGAACCACAACTAATCACAACGCATATAGACAAATGGCTATTGTCTCGGCAGCTGGACAGGTTTTATCCTAGCAAGATCTACATAATCATACATAATAACCAGTACACAACCATTTGTAAGGTTCAATCTCACAGAAGAAGAGAAATAACAACGTAATACAAGTGAAGTGTTCGTGATTATTATACTATAAATCGAAAAACAAAAATAAGGAACCAGGTATGATAAAAGAAGAAAAAAGAAAAAGGTAAAAAGAACACAATCGAGCAGCAGCCCTGATTATGGTCTCCGTTCCATGCCTATACATGCACTCTCTCTGCAACCTACTGATCTTTCTCTGCCATTTTTATTTTGCAACTCAAATATTCCATAACAATTCAAATAAATATGGAGACAATTTCCCCTCTTACCTCTAAATTGTCTTCTTTGCTTCAATTCTTTAACAATGATCAGTAATAACAATGCAATAAATCTGACCGAGACCATCTGCAAGAGATGATTCAATCATGCAAACTGCCCAGACTCTTTCTCAATTTTCTCTAGAAGAGCGACGAGAATCGCCCACAAGAGGAAAAAAGAAACCCTGATGACGAAATCCATAGTATTTCTCTCCTTGTTTGATGGAAGGTTAGAGATCGGAAATTCTCAAAAGAATCAATAAAAGGGTGGTGGTGGAGGTGAAGCATATGAAACCCCTGTGATTGGTGGTAATGGTCCCTCATACACTGGAGTCGGAGGTGGTGGACCTCCATATATGACGGGTGGGGGTGGGGGTGGGTTTTCACATGGAATTGGCGATGGAGGCGACAATGGTGGCGGAGAATGGAAGTAAACTGGTGGTGGTGGTGGTGGGGATGGTGATGGTTTATAATGTATAGGAGGAGGCGGTGACGATGAAGGTGGGGGTGGAGGTGGTGAATACTCTATACATGGTGGGGGTGGAGGCGGTGATGAATAAACTGGGGGAGGTGGAGAATTGACAGGAGGTGGTGGTGGAGGTGATAAGTAAGGATAAACTGGTGGTGGAGGCGAATGTGGAGGTGGTGGGGAGTTATAATAGTAAGGAATAGGTGGTGGTGGGGAGAATATTGGTGGAGGTGGTGCTGAATTTGGTGGAGGCGGCGGTGGGGAACGTACACATGGAGGTAATGGAGATGGTGGGGGTGATGCAGGAGGCGGTGGGGGAGACAGGGATGGTGGTGGGGTAGGTGAAGTAGGAGGCGGTGGGGGGGAATACAAGGTGGAGGGGGAGGAGGCGGGGAGTACACTGGAGGAGGTGGCGGAGGTGGAGAGCGCACTGGTGGCGGGGGTGAAAATATTGGAGGTGGCGGAGGGGGTGGAGGTGACTGTGGAATAACAACTGGTGGTGGAGGTGAAGGTACCGGCATTGGAGGTGAGGGAGGAGGAGGAGGAGGCAAAGATGGAACGAAAGGAGCACATCTAAACGAGCTGCAATCAACAGGTCTAGACAAAAATGCCTTACATTGTGCAGCAGATCTCTGTAATGGTCTTGCTGGCAAACAATTCCTCCTGTCACTGAAATCCGGTAGACTCAAACACACTGGTGGCTCTCCAGTGAAGAAATTATAAGAGAAGGTGAAGTTATCCAAATTCGGTAACTTACAAATACTTGCCGGAATCTTCCCTGAGAGCATGTTGTGAGCTACATTGAGCTGTTCAAGACTCACCATTCCACCAAATGCGTCTGGTAATGGACCCATTAATTGATTGAAGCTAACATCCAAGACTGTCAGGTCTTTAAGCAAACCTATCTCTGCTGGCATGCAAGATCTAAACCCATTGTTCATGAGGATGATTTCATTGAGGTTTGACATGTTACCTATGCTTGACGGCACACATCCATGAAATTTGTTGTTCGCCAAAACGATGACAGATACTGGGGAGTTGCCAAGATTTTCAGGGAGATCGAAAACGAACCTGTTATGATTGATAAAGATTGCATCCAAGTCCTTGTCAAATAGCTCTTTTGGTACAGTACCCTCAAACTCGTTGAACCTCAGATCCAAGAATTTGAGTGAAGGCAGCTTGAGCACAACCTGTGGAAATTTCCCAGCAAACCGATTGTTGCTAAGATCCAGTTCAAAGAGCAGCCTCATGTCCTTGAACTTACGAGGTACAGTCCCACAAAACCTGTTAGAGTTGATGTGAAACAATGCAAGATCCACTAGCAAGCCAAGCTCCTCAGGCAAGTACCCTGCAATATCACCGTGGTTGAGATCAATGCCGGCAACTGTAAGGATTGTTTTGTTGTCCGGAGCTGGAGCGCAGAAAACCCCCTCATAGTTGCAAACTTGGGATCCAACCCAATTGGCTGTCAGGTTTAGAGGGTCTGAGAAGATGGCTTGTTTCCAAGCCTGTAATGCTATGTAAGCATTTCGAAGTCTCGGATTCGGAAAAACAAGAGATGGGTCTACTGTGACTCTCTCTCCTCTGTCACCAAATTCGTCTTTGTAGTAAAGAAGCTGCCGCTTCTTGATGTACATAGCGTCGGCGTCACTGAGGCCTCCATAGCTAGAGATAGTCGGAGCTTGCTTAGCAGCAGAGAGGCACACAACTGTGCCAAGAAACAAGGCAACGAGAAGTGAGAGATGAAGATGGGAGTGGGTCGTCTTCTTCATCTCACATGAGACATCTGATATCCGAAATGCCACTTTCAGTTCTTCTCGCTCTCCTTCCTACCACCCCCCTAATTCCCCCCCGAAGTAGAGTTGCAAGAGAATGGGTTGATGAGGCAAAAGCTATGCAGTTCGAGATCTGAGACACAGAATGTGAGAGAGAGAGAGAGATTTGAGGAGAGAAATGGGGATGTGTTTCTGGGCGTAAGGAGAGAGAGAGAGGGAGATGGGGTTTTTTCTAGGGATTTTGGAGATATGTGTGAAGGGGATGAAGAAATAATGCATCGAAGGACAGCTAAATCACAGCTCAAAGCCCACCAGATTCCCTCTCACTTTCTTTTTTTCTTTTTCTTTTTTTTTTTAAAAAAACTCCAAATCCACTCCACTCTCTCATCTCATCATATGCCACTTTTTCGCGTTCACTTTCTCGCCCGATATGAATGCTACTTTAAAATTTTGAAATTCCATTTCCATGCCCAGCTCATCTTTTTTTTTTTACAATATTAAGAAGCGCGGCTGGAACGTTGTAGGCTCGTTTGCGCCGAACTGATCTGTTTGAAATTAATATTTTATAAAATTTTAAAATTATTTTGTATTTAAATTAAAAATAAACTATATAGACAGAATGTCTTCACCTACTAAAAAAAATCATTGCAATAAAATAATTTGTTTATTTTTTTGTACTCTTATTACGAGCCACTTTGCTATTTAGAATCCCTTTTTAATTTTGAAATCCTAGTTGACTTTAGTGTCCCCAAGCAAGTAGGCTGTAACAAACCCTTAATTTATAATTATTGATTCATTTAAAATAAGACAGTAGAATACAGAAAATGAAGTTTCTTAATGGGAAGTCGGTGGCTTCTGGTTTCCGGCGGAAAGTTGACCTAAAGATGCCGAAACCTAGAAGAAAGAAAGAAAATGGGCCACGCCGTTTCCGGCTACAAGGTGATATCACGAGATCGATGTGAAACTTTCACGATATTTTGGTAATTGGACTAACAGCTGTAGACGCGGCGGAGAATGTTATCAGGATTTTTTTCTTGCAAGCTGTTCTGGAATGAGACGTTATTGTTTTTTAAAATATTTTAAGAATATATAGTTTTAAATATTATTTTTAATATTAATATATTAAAAGGATAAAAACATTTAAAAAATTAATTTAAAATAAAAAAATTTATTTTTTTAAAATGCTCATGAAACGTAAAGATAAATTAAATCTATATTTCTATTAAAAAATCAAATATCATGATTTTAGAATAATTTCTTATAATTTTGACATTTTTATATCTTAATTATAAATATTTTCAATTAAAATATATTTTAAAAATCATTTTCAGATAAATTGTCAAACATCACCTCAATGATAAGGCAATCAAATAAATAAATATCATGGCACTCACCTTTCATTTATTTGAAAGTAAATAAAAGGAAAAATGGAAAATAAAATTTTTATTATTTTAATTGGGTTATTTTTTAGGGCTATTACAAAACCTGTAATTCTAAACCTAAAAACCACAATAAAAAGATGATAAAATTGTATTATATGATAGAATTTATGTTTTTTTTTTAAATACCCATAAAAACATGAACGGATGGGAAATTCTCATTCTAAAGCATCATTTACATCTTTATTGTTTAATTTTTTTATGTTTTATTTTCAAATTTAGATTTTTGTTCTCTTATTTAATGAATAGCAGGTCCAATAATAAGGACATAGCGCCTCCAATTTATTATAGAACACTTTTTAAAATAAATTTTTATTTAATTTTCATATATATATATATATATATGAGAAAATATATTTTTTATAAAAATAAAATGCATTTTTTAATAATTTTAATTATTTTTTATTAAAAATATTTATTTAACTATCATATAATTAAATAAAAATAAATTTTCTCATATATATATATATAACATGCCTGTTTTTAGTAACAACATAGTTTATCAAATAAAAACAAATAATACTTAAAAATTTAATTATGGAAATTTAAATTACAGAGGAAAAAAATGTATCTTTTTAAACCAAACTCTCTTTTTTTATTAACATATTTCTTTGTTTTACAAAAAAAAAAATTATAGAAGTTTTGTTTTCAGATAAAAACTTATTATAATCATAAAAGAAACTTCAATTAACAAAATCATGAATCAATCATTTTTATTAACTTTAAAAAAAATAAAAAAATAAATATAATAAAAAATAAAATACATAAATATTTTATTTTTATTCAATATTAATGATAATTTTTTAAAAAAAAATATGCATTTTAAGTTAATATATAATTATTCATAAAATAATTGTTAATACTATCATAAAAAGCTCTAATCTTCTATAAAACTATGATATAATTGGATAATAATTCAAATATAGTTTTAATAAATTTATTTAAAGATTTTGTTCATTAAAAAAAAAAGTTAAAGGGTTATTTAACAATGTTCATGAAACCTCTCATCTCCTTGTTTCCATGAATATGTTAATTCTTCATCATGGCTAAGCTTCATCCAGTTGCTAGCCTTCCTGCAAATAATTATTGTTTAACTCCCCAATTAACCAAAAAATAATAAAAAACATATATGTTTTTCGTGAAACAGTAATTGAAATCTAGCGAGCTCGCAGCCAAAGCCAAAAGGCCATTAACGAGTTCGGCTTTGGAAGCGGTAGGGTTTATACTGGGAATTAAAATTCAGGTATTTGATGCTTATAGGATTTGGCCCTTTGTTCAGTTGCCCCACCTAATTAGTTAAAAAAAGTAGAGGAAAAGGAAGTCACGATACTCTAATACGCGTGTTGAATTTACTTTCAATGTTGGAGTTGTTGATATGTGCATGGTTAAGGAAATGGGGATATTTTAGTCTTTCATGTTGTTCTGTTAATCATTAAAAGATTAAACATGGATATTATTGTATTTTTATATTATTTTGTATAATAAAAATATTTTTTTTACCTTCCTCACCAATAAAATTTAAACATGTTAACTAAGAATTTTTTTTATTTTGCATAAACTTTAAAATAAGTAAGATATTTCTTTGCCCTTAGATAAAGTAAATTTACTTTTATATATTGAGGGGTGTTTTGATACATTTATATTGATTTATTTGTTATTTTTAGAGTTATGAAAGGTTTGTTAGTGATTTAATATTTATTTTTAATATTAAATTTAAAAAAGTTATTGGCACGTGTTTTTCACTTGACAGCATGATGATGGCATTTGTGCTCTTTTAATAATATGTATTTACTTTCAATGTTGGAGTTGTTGATACAATTTACTGTGCATGGTTAAGGAAATGAGGATATTTTAGTCTTTCATGTTGTTCTGTTAATCATTAAAAAATTAAACATGGATATTATTATTTTTTTATATTATTTTATATAATAAAAATATTTATTTACCTTCATAACCAATAAAATTTAAATATGTTTACTAAGATTTTTTTTATTTTACACAAACTTTAAAATAAGTAAGATATTTCTTTGCCCTTGGATAAAGTAAATTTACTTCTATATATTGAGGGGTGTTTTGATACATTTATATTGATTTATTTGTTATTTTTAAAGTTATGAAAGGCTTGTTAGTGATTAATATATATTTTTAATATTAAATTTAAAAAAATTATTGGCACATGTTTTTCACTTGACAACATGATGATGGCATTTGTGCTTTTTTAACAATATATGTATTACCATTATTGTTTTAAAAATAATCTTTTATCGAGTCATTGAAAACGCCGTCACATGCTCTTCCACCTAGTGTGGAGTGTGTCAGTAGTGGACCGATAGCTTGTTGTCGGTGGTCATTTCTTTTTATTTTTCAATTTCAATCATTAAATTTTTTAATTGTTTATTTTCATCTTTAGCCCTTTTAGAAAAAATTTATATGTTTTCAATTCAATCCTTAAATTAAAATTTATCATATATTTTTTTCTCTACTTTGAGCATTATTCTTTTGATTTGTCATTTTTACCTTTGGATCTTTCATTAAAATATTATTAGAATTCAACTTCATCCTTCAATCAAAGTTCATGTTGTTTTTATATATATATAATTTAGCTTTCCTTTTTTTTCCTTTGTTCATTGTTTTTTTTTAATTTAATCCTACAATTTAATTTTTAAATTTCCTTGAATTTATTTTTTTTATTTTGGCTACCACCCTTGTTTTTTAATTAAATTTTTTTATGTGGTTGACTTTTTTCAGTTATATCCTTCTGTTTTTTATTTATTTGGGATTGGACTTCATAGTTTTTTTATTTATTATGCTTCCAATTTAATGAACGGTTTTTGTAAGTGTTAATACAATTAGGAATTATTTTTTTCTCATTTTATTTTATGATTTTATCATTCTTCATTGGTTTACAAAATTTGTTTTGTGGTTACCTTCATATTATTTTCTATCAGTTTGTTTTCGTCTCATTACCTAAACCACGAGTTTTGCAAGGTGTTTTTGGATAAATATTTTTTTTAAAAAAAATTTCTTTTGTGTTTAACTTTTGCTGATTTTTTATTTTATTTTATACAAGTAGATTTTGTTTTATATAAAAATAGTTATTTTGAAATAATATTTCTTATATATTCAGTCATGCATACCTTTTCTTTTCTTTTTATTTTATTTACTTTGTTTCATATGTATTTTTATTTCGATTATCTATTATTGATTTTAATGAATAAATCTAGTAGATATTAACGAATAAATATCTCATTTTATAAGATCAAATATCTTGATCTACATCCATCTCTTAATTTTTTTTCAGTTGCTATTGTATCCTGTTTGTTTTTGTGTTTGAAAAGCGCTTTTGAAAAAATTTAAATTATTTTATTATTTTCTTTGCTTCAAATTAATATTTTTTTTGTGGTTTTAGATCATTTTGATGTGTTGATGTCAAAAGTAATTTTAAAAAAATAATAATAAAATATTATTTTGCTATATTTTTCAATTAAAAAATACTTTGAAAAGCAACCGCAACCACACTCTTAAGCACGATATTATTTTTCAATTAAAAAATACTTTGAAAAGTAACCACAACCACACTCTTAAGTACAATATTTTGTTAACAAAATATTTTATTTATTTACATAGATGATAATTCAATGTTTGGATAAACCTTTTAATTTACACTTATAATTTTTATTATGTAAAAAAAATATATCAAAATAGTCTATATACTCGAGTTTTTTTAGAGAAAAAAATTACGACTCGTTATAGAGCACATATCAAATCAAATTTTTAGTTGCCCCCTATTTTTTTTTGTTTTATACAAATAAAGTTTATTTTTAAAAATAAAAAATATCCATTTTTAAATAATATTGCTGATGTT